AGAGGGGGAGATAGAGAAAGAGAGAGGGGAGAGAGAGAGGAAGGGAGACAGAGAGGAAAAGAGAGGGAAAGAAGGGGGGAGGGAGAGGGAGAAAGAGAGAGGCGGAGAGAGAGGAAGGGAGAGGGGGGAGAGAGGAAGAGAGACAGAGAGGAAAAGAGGAAGAGGAAGAAGGGGCGAGAGGGAGAGAGGGGGAAAGAGAGGGAGAAAGAGAGAGGCAGAGAGAGAGAAAGGGAGAGGGGGGAGACAGGAAAAGAGAGAGGGGGAGAGAGGGAGAAAGAGAGAGAGGGGAAGGGAGAGCAGGAGAGAGAGGAAAAGGGAGAGAGGGGGCGAGAGGGAGAGAGAGAGAAAGAGGGAGAGAGAAAGAGGGAGAGAGAGAGAGAGGGAGGAGAGGGGGAGAGAAAGGGAGAGAGGGAGAGTAAGAGGGAGAGGGAGGGGAGAGAGGGGGAGAGGGGGAGGGAGAGAGAGTGCGTCACACTACTGAATAGGGCTACTCAAGAGACAGCAGAAGTCCCAAGGGAATCTGACTTGTCTCCTGAAGTCACGATGGGGGATACAGTTCAAATGGCTCAGAAAGAGGAGAGTGCTATATCATGGGAAAATGTGAATTTGGTGATGTTCCCTTATTGCACTGGATCATTAGTAGCAAATGGCCTTGGATGCTGTGGTTGAAACCTCTGAGGGGGCAGGAGGAAATGCTACTTAGGCTGCGGTCACACGGAGCATTAGCCATGCTGCATAGACGGAAGATAGGCGGACTTTCCGGGCGCGATCTCACCGCAACATCTGGGGAGCGTAGAGCTCCCGTGGCTGACCCGTGACTACCCTCCGAAGGCGCGCAGTAAAAAACTAGTACCTCAGACGCCTGATCGCGTCCCTGCCGGACTCCCGTGGCATCCGGCGCCCGCCGGGTTGTTCCCCCCCCCATGCCTCCAGAAGCGCCCAACAGTGCATTCGCACAAAGACGCACGGCATCATTCAGGTCGAGGGAGGGCCATGGGGGGCTGTGATGGGGGTGAGCGGCAGCGGACAGGCGGAGAGCGGGCGTGTGTCCCGGGGAGGGAGGGCGGGCAGGCTGCTGGTGGGGAGGGGGATCTGGCAGGTTACTCCCCCCCTCCTTGTGAGTGGCCCACGGACCCTGCCTGGAGTGGGCTGTGCATGGCCCTCCCAGAGGCAGCGGCTCATTCCGTCCCCTTCCCATCGGCCAGATGCTCTTGGTGGAGGTGCGGATACTCGTGTGATCGGCACCTCCACCCTAACCATGGGACCTCGCCGGGACCTCGCCGGGACGTCTGATCCCGCAGCAGCGCGGTATTTTGCCCCGGGGCAAACAGCCACGCTCCCCCCCCGCATTTTCCTGGCCGTGTGGCCCGGGCCTTAGTTAGCCTGTTGGACGAGGATCTGAGAAACCCGGGTTCAAATCCTCCATTCCACCATGAAGCACTATGGGTGTCCTGGAGTCAGTCATTCTCTCTCAGCCAGCCTGATCTACCTCACAGGGTTTTCGTGAAGATAAAATGGAGGAGGGGAGACCCATGTAAACATGCACTAGAACAGATACCAAGCAAGCTCTCTTCTGTCTTGCTTAGACAGTTTGCCTTCGGGGATGAATGCCCACATTACTGACACCCTCTGGGGCAGAACAGGCCTGCTTTACGCCAGTTTGGTGTAGTGGTTAAGAGCGGCAGACTCTAATCTGGGAGAACTGGGTTTGATTCCCCACTCCTCCACGTGTAGCAGCTGGGTGACTTTGGGTCTGTTATAAGTTCTCTCAGAGCTGTTCTCTCAGGAGCAGTTCTCGAAAGAGCTCTCTTAGCCCCACCTACCAAACAGGGTGTCTGTTTTGGGGAGGGGAAGGGAAAGGAGATTGTAAGCTGCTCTGAGACTCCTCCTCCTCCTCTTCTTCCTCTTCTTCCTCTTCTTCTTCTTCACAAATTTGAACTCAGGGCTCCCAGATACAAATCCAACACCCTAGCAACTATACCATACTGGCACCCAATACTGCACTCTGACCCAGTTTCTTCCCATCATGCCTCATCCTGCCCATGACAACATCCCCTCTGTGATTTCACCCAGTCACTCTAAGAACGAGGTGCACGCCGGGAAAGCTCACTTTTGACAATGAGCTGAGCAGTGATGTCGACTTCGTTCTGATCGTTCTTGGCCAAGCATCGATAGCTCCCTGCGTCCTCCCGCTGGACCCCCTCCAGCTTCAGGGTTCCGTTCGTGAACTCAAAGGTCCGGTTGTTTTCAAGGGCAGGGTACATGTCTTCCGTAAACCTGGAGAGGAGACAGGAGAAAGGGGAGGAGAGTAGGGTGTGTGAAAGACAAAAATCCCTTGGTATCCTCATGCCTAGGGTTGCCAATTCTGGGTTGGGGAATCCTTAGGATTGCCCCTGGCAGGGATGGGGGGGTAGGGTTGCCAGATCCAGGATGGGAAACTCCTGGAGATTTGGGAATGGAGCTTGGGGAGGACAAGGACCTCAGTGGGGCACAAGGCCACAGAGTCCCCCCTCCAAAGCAGCCATCTTCTTTCCAGGGGAACTGATCTCTGCGGTCTGGAGATGAGCTGGAATTCGGGGGGATCCCCAGGCCCCACCTGGAGGCTGGCATCCCTGGACCTCGGTAGGGCACAAGGCCACAGAGTCCCCCCTCCAAAGCAGCCATTCTCTCCAGGGGAAACTGATCTCTGTAGTCCTGAGATGGGCTGGAATTCTGGGTTTGTAAGTAAACAAAAAATAACCATGATACTATTATGCAATCTATTCAATCATTATTATCAAGCATTTATATTATGGTACAAATTACAAAACACATTCCAATGCAAAACACACAGATATTTAAAGTGTCCTCGTTTGCCAAACTGTCCTTGCTTAAAGAGGTAAATTATTCCAAATCTGATCAACTGTCGTTCAGACGCCACGGGAGCCACGACAGCTGATCGGATATTTGGAATAATTTACCTCTACGTCATAGAAGGGCTGTGTTAAGCTACTTTGAGCTATATTATTCAGAGGAAATTTGAGCGCGGACAGTTTGGTTGATGCGGACACTTTAAATATTTGTATATTTTGTGCATCGGGATGTGTTTTGCAATATGTGCAGTAATAGAAATACTTGATAATAATTATTGAATAGATGGCATAACAATATCACAGCTGGGTCCGTGCTCAAAGAGGTAAATTATTCCAAATCTGATCAACTGTCGTTCAGACGCCACGGGAGCCACGACAGCTGATCGGATATTTGGAATAATTTACCTCTACGTCATAGAAGGGCTGTGTTAAGCTACTTTGAGCTATATTATTCAGAGGAACTTTGAGCGCGGACAGTTTGGTTGATGCGGACACTTTAAATATTTGTATATTTTGTGCATCGGGATGTGTTTTGCAATATGTGCAGTAATAGAAATACTTGATAATAATTTTTGAATAGATGGCATAACAATATCACGCCTGGTTGTTTTTTTTACTTCCAACCTATCCCGTGATCTCACGTTTGCAGTGACAGCCCGAGGTTTTTTCGCCCACTAGGCGAGGATACATTCTGGTGGACACCCCACCGCCCGGTGCGGGGCAGGACAGGGGCGGGCACCGGAGCCACAGCAGGCGGGCTGAAGGGGCGAGCTGCAAATGCATGCAGGGGGCGGGATTGCTCGAGGGAGGGGGGGGGGCCTGTGCCAGGCTGCAAAAAGAGTTCCAAAGAGACTGTGGGGGGGGCAGAGGGGGAGG